CACAGGTCGTGTGAGTGACTGACTGAGTGAGTGAATGGCAAGTCGTCCTATCGACAGATGATTGGGGCCGCCGCCGTCGGCAGAAAGACGGCGACCCCTCAGCCCGACACAAATAACACGACAGACAGCAAGGAAGCGGCAAGAACGGATCAAAACTTGGCTGCCTGGCGTCTGTCCAGGTCATGAGGCAGCTGGCCTGGACGACCTGTGTGTGTGTGGTGAGATGGATGAGCAACAAACAAATACATCCGGTGGGTGGGAGTATAGCAGAGTGTTCATACAGACAGACAGCCACACTGACACACACAGCTGGCGGCACAAACAGGGGTATCTGTCTGTCTGCCTGTGTCGGCACATTCGGCCGCCCCGTCGCCCTTTGTTGTGGGGGCCCGCCAGTGAGTGAGTGCTCAGGCAGACAGGCAACGAAGGCTGTGGTGCGTACACACCCAGACAGACAGACAGACAGGTTTGTATGCATGTCCGTGAAGCGCATCCACACACTTGTACAGACAGACGGCTGGTGCCACTTCGCCTGTGGGTCGGGGGCACGTGCACTCGCTGGCTGCCTCGGCGGGGGATGTGTGTGTGCTCAGAGGGACATGAGATGTTGGAAAACGGGACAGAGGCCGTCCGATCGATCGATTGACATGATGGGATCTCTCTCGCTCGCTCGCTTCACTCTGTCCTCGAGACCCCCCACAACAGCCAGCCACACCAGCCAGCCAGCCACCCCAGCCAGCCAGCCAGCCTCCCATCGGTTGTGTATGAATCGACCAGCCTGCCAGCAACGGCACTGTACTGCTGGCACGACCGACCAGTATCGGTGCGCATCTGTGGACCAGCCAATACGATCCACATCCATCCATCCATCCAGCCATCGGCCACAGCAACAGGGCACACACGGACGCCAAATCAGACAGAAGGGCCACAACAGACGGCAAGGAAGTCGGTCAAGGTACGCTAAGTCGGTGGCTGAGTGAGTGAGTGAGTGTGTGTGCAGGTATGTACAGCCAGGGCGAGGAAAGGCAAGCCACCCAGGGAGGGAGGGCAGAAAGAGAGGTTTCTGTCTGTCTGTCTGTCTGCCTGTCTGTCTGTCAGTCCACCGCATCGTCCCCCCCTGCCCGCAGACAAACCACCCAACCCAGTGCTCCTCCCCTCCCCGCCAGCAGCACCAAACGAAACAGCCAGCCAGCGAGTCAGTCAGTCAGTGAGGCCATCCACACACGCCACGAGTACGGATCAATGGATGGGCCTGATGCATCTGAGTGAGTGTGTGTGTGTGTGTATCAGCCGGTGGCGTCCTGGTCCTCCTCGAAGTCTCACACCTCCTCCAGCGGGGGCAGGCCATCGTCGTCACGCACGGACCACTCGCCGCTCCCAGAGGCAGCAGCTGGAGGGGGAAGGCAGAGGACACAAGCCAACCATCCACCGATGGATGACGGCTGACTGACGTGGGTTACTGCAGCGCCTCCCTCCCTCCCTCTCTCCTTACCGGCAGCCGCAGCGCTCGCCGATGGCTTGCCGGTCTCCTCAGCCTCAGCCGCGCCGTCACTGTCGCCTGGGCCGACGCCCCCCCGGGCCTGGCAGTCTGATCATGGACGAAGGCCAACCAACCAACACAACACAACACATCAGTGGTCGGATGGCTGGCAGTGAGTGGTTCCATCCCTTTGTCCGTTCGTACCGTCCTGGAGGGTCTGCTGGATGGCGAGCTTGTCCTCATCGACGCCCCCCGGGGCCGCCTCAACTGAAGGGCAGAAAGCGAAGCGCACATAGAGCGGGTAGACAGACAACCAGACGGATCCACACGTGTGGGTGGGTGTGGGTGTGGGGTCTGTCGGTGCAATGCGGTTCCTCTTACGCGCGACTTGGCTGTCACGGCTCGCGCTGCGACTGGTGGATGACCCGCCTGGCGGACGAAAGTGACACGGGTGTGCACTGCACATGCCATACATGCGTGTGTGTACATCTGTATGTTCTCACTCTGGCCAGACGAGCCCGACTGCTCCCTCTCCTCCTTCTGGCCCTCACTCTGGCCAGACGAGCCCGACTGCTTCCTCGCATCCTTCTGGTTCTCCACCTCCAGCTTGATGGCCTTCAGGTCTGGACCCCACACCTACACATACATGCATTCACACATCACATCAGACACGTGCACGGATCGCGTGGGTACTGATGTCACATCACTGACCTCGACGTCGGTGACGTGAGCGGTCAGGGAGCAGTAGGCCTCCCCCTCCTGCTGCCTCTTGCTCGCCGCCTGCTTCCTTCGCACAGCATCGTCCTCACCAGCGGGCTCCTCAGCAGCAGCCACCGTACTGTCGGCCTCGTCCGGACAAGTCAGAGCGAGTTGCTCGAGCATGAGGATGATCTGCGTGGTCAGCAGGGGGCTGAAAGAGGCACCCTTACCCTGTTCCACCAGACGGAGAACAAACAGGATGGTCTCATCTATGGTGTCTGTCTGTCTGTCTGTCTGGTGTCTGGTCTGGTGCGTGTCGTCCGCAGACCTACCGCTGAGGAGTCGTCCGCACCGGCGGCGGCCGACTGCTGAAGGTCCACAGAGAACAGCAGGCACAGGCATGTGTGTGACCTTGAATCAGTCAATAGACTGTGTGCTCTCATCCGTGCGGTTACGTGTACCTCCTTCTGCGCCTCCTGATTCGATTGGGCAGGACAGACACACCAAACAGCCGACATACCAATGGGAGTCTGTGCGTCGGGCTGTGCGCGTGCTGTGCATCCATACCTTGAGCTCCCTCTCGGCCATTGTCAAGGCGCCCTCCCAGTTGTTAGGCCTCAGTGCCGCGCTATACGACCGCCGCGTGCCCCCGTTGCTGTCCTGGGTGTCCAGCTGGATGCGCTGGGGCTGCACCTTCAAGTGCATGACACCGCCGCCGAGCAGCGTGCCGTCGATGTAGCCGCCCCTGCTGAAGGTGATGACCAGCATGTTCTGATGCGGGTAAGGCTGGACCCGCTCGACGTGGACGTCGTTGACCTCATTGGCGCGATGAAAGCGCTCTCGCACGGCTCGCCTGCGCAGGCCCTTAGAGATGGACTTGCCCCAGCCCACCTCAGCTTTGTATGTGGACCACTCGAAGATGCCGTATGCGGGGGGGGCGTTGGCGTAATTGGCGTACGTCTGGTGGAGGGGGAGGATCCTGGTGGTGCAGAGGTGGGGGGTGAGGGCGTAGGTGGACTTTCGGGCCGTGCTGAGCAGAGTGGTGGTGCTGGTCCTGAGGGCGGAGAGGTTCTCCTGCATGACGTGGTGGGGGCCCTTGGTCTGCTTGTACTCCTGGTAAGCGGAACCCAGCTGGTCCACCGCTGAACAAACACGCACACACGCACAGCACAGCACAGCACAGCACACCACACCACACACACATCAGTGACCGACACACCACCAATGCTGCATGACCTCCCCCCTCCTGGCATACCGGCGACTGTCTGCTCGACTTGGCGATAGATCTGCAGTGCTCTTGCCGGCCCTCTCAGCAGCACGATGGCCTTCCTTACCGCGGATGAGGACAACGCCGTCGGAATCCTCAAGGCTTTGAAGAAATGTGGCGGTTGGTCCTCGAGGTCGACCTCGTCGATCACCATCGCCTCTGGGCTCTCTTCCACCCCGCACCGCCCATACTCGGCTTCCGTCATGCGATTCAGGGCAGTGAGAGACTCGGTGAGGTTGTCGATGTGGTAGGAAAAGATCTGGAAGTTCTGCCCCTTCCCGGGCGCGTCGTCCCCTGTGTCGAGCCAGGCTGTGATGCCATCCACTGTGGGGGGGCGGCTGCCCCACCAGAGGGACAGGTACAGCTGCCGCCTCTGGTCCGCCACCCGCTCATCGGCCCTCTCCAAGACATAGTCGGGCTCGTCGGGGTAGTGGCGGTTGAGGAACGCCAGTTGCTTGTCCCTGAATGCCTCCAGCGACGTGTCGACAGTGTCGAGGTCCGACAGGCGCACCACGGTGGCATGCACAGGGATGCCGCATCCCCGCACCTGGCTGTAGAGGACGCTCACGCTCACGTCGGTGACCACCGACGGTGCAGGGACCACCAGGATGGTGGTTTGCGGGTGCTTGAAGAGGTTGGCGATCGCCCTCACGTCGTCTGTCCCGACCTTGGCGAAGTCGGAGCGGCTGCTGCCGAACTCGTAGAGCTGGGGGAGGCACAGGCCGTACTGGTATGAGAAGCGGCCGTTCTCGAGTGCGATGGGGTCGAGTTGGATGTTGCGCGGGAAGATGAGACTCCTGTCCTCCAGCATGAGCAGCACGCACTCCTCCTCTAGGAGACCCCCCTGTTGCGGCCCACAGCACGCCCATGCAGCTCGTCCCTAGCACCGAGCTCGCGGGGATCGTTGTTCGACGACCTGACCCATCGCCCCAGCAGGATCGTCCGGTTGTCCTTCTCCTCGCGCAGATGCGCGAACAAGGCGTCGCGCGCGCGCCGTGTAGCGAGGGGCTCGAGGTCGACGCTGGCAGGGAAGAGGATGGCGCCGAACGCGTCTGGGACGCCCTTGATGGACGAGCAGGACTCGAGGACCTCCTTGTCGGTATCCGCAAGGGGGCCCTTGAGTGCCCCCGCCAGAAAGACAAGCCTCTTCTCCACGTGGTTCCTCAAGCGCCGGTGGCTACCGAACGCCTCACCGCTGATGAACCGCCGCAGCCCGTCAGGTGTCATCTTCTTCACCCCTGCCGCATCCACGCAGAGCACCAGGTGCTCCACCTCGATCATCTTCTGACAGTCCTTGCTCTTGATCGCCGCGACGTCGTCATGCATGTTGATGGTGTGCTGGACCGCTTTCTCCACGTCCATCACGCCATCGCCGATGACCTGCTCGGCGTTGTACACGAGCAGTGTGTCGGGGCTGCAAAGAACCTTCCGGAATAACTGGCAATCCTTGGTGAGGGCGTATGGGTCGGTCTGGGTAGCGGCGGCAGCGGCATGGCTGGTGGACGGCGGCGAAGAGGACAAGGCGCTGGGCTTCATGGCTGGCGATGATCACCCGCACCTGACCGAACACACACGAAGGAATCACCCGCTGCAGGTGCACAGTGTCTTTGGCGTGTGAAGCTCTTAGTGTCTCACCTTGTCAGCGTGGCGGACGACGTTGGCTGCGCCGCAGAAGACGCCACACGACCGAAAACACTGCCTGAGGGCACATCAGAGAGGCAGAAGACACATCCAGTGCGCATGCATCCTCCCCTTTCGCCAACTGTGCACTCACGCGCTTACCGGACAGCGGAGGTCCTCCGGCAGCGCCGCCCCTCCTCTCCCGAGTCGCCTCTCACACCGACTGCCTGGAAGGCGCTGAGGAGATCTTCTGACCTACAGGTCAGAGATCAGTGAAACCTGACGCCTGGCAGACAGGCATGAGCACAGCGAGACCCTTGAACGCCTCAATGCGACAGCCTGCGAGCTGCAGCAGCGGTTTCAGGGAGCACCCTAGGTGGCCTGACGGCCAAGTCCCCTGTCGGTCTGTCCAACAGCCTGCGAGCTTAGCTGCGCGCTTTGGAAAGGTGAAGGCAGCGATGAGCTTTGCTGTCGGCTGTGGCAAAGTGTGTGTTGGCGGGAGTTGAGTCGGGTATGGCTTGATTGAGTTGTGCATGCCGGCCATGAGCAGCCCTCAGCAGCGGTGCTGGGAGTGCTCTCCGACAGGGCGTTTCGTCGATGGCGTCCGCCGCCGCTCTCTTCGCTCCAAGGAAATGCTTCAGCTTCTATCGGCCGGAGCCGACCCCAACGCGCCGGTCGTTCGGGAGAGTCACTTCTCGCGGTCAGCTGGCAGCGAGGGCGGCTTTGCAGCCGTCGTCGAGGTGTTTGCGTGGAAGGCCGGAAGCCGCCTGGCGCCCCCACTGGTGGATGCGCTCATCCCGGCGCCGACCTCTCGTTTCTCTGCCGCCGATTCCCGCGACCAAAGCCGAGGCGGCGCGACCGCGTTGCTTCCTTCAGCCGGGACACGGACACCCTCTACGAGGCATGCCGCCACCATGACGTCATCGAGGGCGCCATTGACCGTGCAGTCGAGCGGCTGGACCACCACATGGTCCGCCAGGTGATGGCCATGAGCGACATATCGTCTGTGTCGCTGCGGCCGAGCTGGGCGACACTCATGGCGACGGCGATGCAGGTGTCCGCCAATCAGCGGTACGACGGCCCCCAAGCCGCTGCGGTGCGTCAAATCGCCGAGGCGTTCCTTCCCCCGTCAGCCCCTTCCTCTCCACCCGCCCCCCCTGCCGCTGAGGTCCGCTGCCGAGAGGAGCGTCGGTGGGTCTGTTCGTCTCTGTCCAGGTCGCTGAGTCGCCACCGGGTCCACCTGTACAGTGGTGACGACTGCAGGGGTGCGGACCACGTGCTGGTCTCAGCGGCTCGCTATGGCGACGTGGCGCTTTTCCAGCTGGTGATGGACAGGGGAGGGCGGCACGAGTGTGAGCTTGGGCAGATGCTGAGGGCTGTGGGTGGCGTGGTGGAGGTCACTTTGAGGACTTTGGCCAAGGAGGCGATTCACGCCGGATCGACGGCCATAGTTCGCCATCTGGTGCTGCACGAGGGGGCCGAGCTGCCGGCCTCGATCATCACAGCGAAGTTCCCATCCGCGGCCCCCACCCGCCAAGAGACCAGCAGCCTCACCGAGGCCATTCGTCTGGGGGGCGACATGGCCGTGCTGTGGCCAGAGGCAGTCAGGTGGGATCGCATCACTTCCTCCAAGCAGAGGAGACAACAGCTCCGATTGGTCTACCAGGGCTATCTGAATCAGGTTGGTGGGCTGGCTCACGGAGGGAGGGAGGCAGTGAAGGGATGGTCCCCTCCCTTGATCCGATCGATCCGTCTCTGATTTCCTCTCAGGTGTCTGTTTGTGTGGAGCGAAGGGCCAAGGCGGCCCTGACAACGCTCTCCTGCCTCTATACGGCCGCCCACAGCCATCCGGTCCTCTCAGCCGACGCTCAGTCCGCCCCCACACTCGGCCCGCTGCTCATCCAGCAGCCCCCCCGCCACCTCCACTTCCCCACATCCACGCCATTCGGCCGCCGCATCGCCATCGCTCTCAACCACGCTGTCAATTCAGTGGCCATGGGCAGCACGGAGGGCTCGGACCATCAGCAGGGTGCCGCAGCCACATGGAGCATCACTCACCAGCTGAGTCGGCCGCTGTTTGTGATAGCTGGGGTGGATGGCCGGCGTCTGTCGCTCTATGACGTCATCGAGAAAGCCAGGCGAGACGAGGCGGCCAAACACGGCCTGACAATCGACGAGAGGGCCGGCAGCGACACGGCTTTCGATTGGGCGGACGTGGGCTTCATCGAGGACCGCCGATTCGTGTCGCTGCGTCTCGACAGAGCCGTCATTGCGGCCCAGCCCGCCGCCGGTGCTGCTCGTCCCGCCGTGATGCATCGCCGGTGGACGGCCGCTGACATTGTCGCGCCGCCGCCTCGCAGTGTGTTCGGTCCCGCCAGCCCCCGGCCGCTCATCGACCCCCAGGAGCTGCTGCACACCAAGGGAAGGGCCATCTTCAGGTGGACGGGCAATATCCATGACGACAAGCAGGTGACCCAACTGCAATAAGTGATCCGATCTCACTCAAGGCCCTCTGTGTGTGTGTCGGTGCGTGTGTTGTAGGCCACTGCTGCTTCTGCCGGCGGTGCATTGGCCGCGGCCCACTCATTCTCCCTTCCCCACCCACCAGCCATGCCGTCACCATCAGTGGCGGGTCACAACGACCAGCCCGCCGTCTCATCGGCAGCCAATGAGGCCTCGCCACCCTCCCGGCCGCATGAGTGACAGCAGCAGCCAGATGGGCTGATGGGGCGAGAGACATAGATGCATCTGTGCGGACGATATGGAGAGAGACTGCAGAGAGAGGTGTGTGAGTGAGTCGGTCCGTAGCCTTTCGGGCTGATCTCTTCTCCGTGTTCGCGGGGAGATCAAGGTGCATCCATGGGTAGCATAGCGTGCATGTGTGTGTGTCCAAACGGCAGACAGGCATGTGTTCCTTTCGTGATGTCTATGGATGTGGACAATCGAATCCACCGACTGCGAATGAACGGATCTGGCAACCTTGTTCACTCCTCCGATGGCAGATATCGATGTGTGTCTGGTCCTATGTTATCATTTGGGCATGACTGCGGGTGAGTGACAGCTCCGTAAACGGACGCGACGTGACTCCCGCCACCGCGCGTATGTCGATGTGGATCTTGGTCGTGGCTGCATCAGTATGCTTAGTTGCCTGTGGGGGCTCCCAAATGGACGAGAACGGGCTTAATGCCTTTGCCTTTGCGACGCCATTCAAGCAAGGTCCGTTTTCACTATTGCACATTGCAAAAGAGGAGGCTGGGCGCCACAATGATATGCCTGGTGTGCAGCGGATGCGTTTCTGCACCGGAGTTTTCACACCGCCATGAGGGACGAAAGGGAGGACGACGAAGCCGCGAAGCCCTCTTGTCAGAACAGACTGACAAACATACGAACCTACGAAGCATCCGTTCCCCTTTGTGTCGGCAGTCTTGTCGGACCGAGAGTACCTTCAGAGCTCTGCCAACGAGCTGGAAGGTCAGCCATGGCCTTCTGCGGATGGTGGCTCTGTGTGTGTGTGTGTGTGTGCAGCGTCGGTTGGCTGGAACATTCGGGATCTTGACAACAGTGCACACATGGCACAGGCAGCGCTCAAACACAGTGAGTGCACTCACCGATGCGAAGCCCGGCGGAGGGGCCGTGTCTCACTGTTGGCGTGAAGCGTATGTCTGCGTCGCTCCGTCAGGTTTGTCTGGCCCGGCAGAGATCAGATCCTTCATGGAGATGATGCGCCGGATGCGCAGGCAGAGAGAGATGAATGACGACAGGCATGTGTGCTGACAGCAGAGAGCCCAGCCACAAATCCAGTCAGCCAGTGCACATGCTGGTAGAAGAGACCACAGACAGCTATGAGGCAGCTCATATGTACGAGTGCCGCTCGCATGTCTGGATACTGTCAGCTCCGTGTAGGCATAGTAAAGTAGTAGGGCGACGACTGACGCGCATGTGCATCATTCAACCCGAGCGTGAACACTATGAGCAGCGTCATCCGTCACCATCCCCCATCCGTCCATCGACAAATGCATGCATCCATCCGATAGTCAGTCAATCCAGCTGCCCCTCACCCAATCTACGTGTGGAGTCACTCACGCCGTCTGAAGGACAACTCGAGGCTCCACTGTGTGTCGTGTGAACAAGTGTGAAAGCTGCCCACCTTCCCACCAGGGAATCGTCGGAAATACTCCTTTCTGATCTCACGCAGCACTCCTATGTCGCGGTCCGCAGTTGTGAAGCGAATGGTCAGCTCTCGAATGCCTCTGACGGTGAGGATGGACTCAACACTTGACAGCACACCAACGCCAGCGCCCGCATTTGCCACTACATACAGACACAGCACATAGTCAGACGAGCCGGGCACCTTCACTGTCATTTCCGTCCGGCTTACCGTACAGACGTAGCCGCACGGTTTCGATCTCGGGCAGCTGGTCCTTCTCATTGCCCCACATCAGCTCCTCCCTGCCCACACCGTCCACATCAGCCGTAATGCTCATCTCGCCGAGCGCCTTCTCTGGCCCAGCCGCCCGAAGCATGGCCACCACATCAGTCGTCGTGACCCGGGACGAGTCCGATGAGACCGATACCACCGTCACTCTGGATGACGACGTGTCGCTGCCGGCCCTCTCGTCGATCGTCAGGTCGTATTTGGCCGCGTCGTCGGCACAGCTCGTCCACACACTCCCTTCCCCCTCCAGGTCACCTGTTTTGATCCGCTTGTTCATCTTGGCAGCAGTGCGCTTGGGGAAGAAAAAGATTGTCGGTTTGAGTGGCGTCAACAGCAGGCCGGCAGCGAGATGACACTCCACTGTCATCACCTGAAGCAGAAGCAGCGTGCATCAATCAATCAATCGTCGGTGCTCCATTCGCTTCTCTCCCTCTTGTACCTGCTGTGTGCCTCCCTGGGCAGGACGCAGGCCGCTGATTGGACGACGCTGCACGTGGGTGCGCCCTCCTCGCTCATCGTGTGCAGACGGCTCCTTTTAACTGCACAACAACGCTCGCCACAGATTCCTCGGCTCTGCACGTGGATGGAACGAGTTCTCCCCTTGAAAGAAAGTAGCTTGGCGAAAGGTCAACCCTTTTGTCGCTTTCGTTGCGACTGTTCGGCGTTGTTCTTCAGTGGACGTTGTCGAGATCTATGGAAAGGAGGTGTGGCAACGGCATTGAAAGGGAAAATGGCTTCTTCAGTGCGAGCTGAAACGAAGGGCCCGGTTTTCCTTTCCTCGGCTTTCGGCGCAGTTTTCTCATCAGACTCGTAAGGGGACTCGCAGAGAGAAGACATCTGGCCAATAATATCAAAAAACGAATGTGCCAGTTCAGAGAAAATCAGCAGTTCGATCCTCACTCGATCGTGGCATTTTTGGCGCATTTTCGCCTCTTTCAGGGGCTGGTTGTGTGCGGTGAGTGCCACTGAGGGATAACTTGGGGATGACAGGTGTGAACAAGGGGGGAAATTCAGTGCGAGCTAAAAGTGAGCTCGCAGGGAGGAGGCGGCGCTGCCCTCTGCTCTGTGTGCTCGTCGCTCTTCATCGGAGGTGTCAGGTGAGATTGAATGACAGGTGAGGACAGTCAACAAGCCATTGCGTTTGTTTGTTCCCATGTTCCTCCTGCAGGACAGTGCTTCTGGACAGCACAGGATGTCTTCTTTTTGTGGCGATGGCAGTGCTCAGGTGAGGTGAGGCAGGAAGCCTCTCTGCTGCCGGACATGTCATCTCTTCTGCCTCTCCTGTCCACCAGAGACCCGCAATGCGCCTCGACGAAGTCCATCTCCGGCCATCGCAGGTACTGATCAGTCACGCTATGCACACTGGTGATCTGCGTCTTTCAGAACAACGATGATGAGTACAGAGCGGCGAAGACGGATCCCTCAAAGGTCGACGACACATCGCCGCCAGCTGGGAGCTCGTAAGCATCGACGCTCGGTCTCACGTGTGTGTGTGCGCGTACCTGCGTGTGTGTTTGTAGCTCATCGAGCGATGCAGTGAGCGCACGGCTGCCATCTGACGCCCGTGTCGGCATCCCGCCAGCGACGGAGAAGGACAGCCCGTTGGTGAATCCTGGAGAGATGCAGACCATCAGATATCAGGTATGAGATACCCTTACCCACACGCGCATTTGACGAACATGTGCATGTGTGTGGTGCTGTGTGTGGTGTGCGCAGTACGACCCGCGGATTGAGGGCACCTTGTTCCATCTGCACGAGAGGGGCAACAAACCACCTCGCAACGACGGACCGGTGGGCTACCGACACACACACAGGGGAACATCGATGTTGTGCCTCACACCCATGCGGCTGCGTGCGTCTGTGTGTGCGTGGATTGGTTGTCAGGCTGCGTCTCGCCTGTCGCCTCTGGATCTGGGCAACATCATCAGCTTCTCGCAGCCGTGGGACCTTTCCCAGCTGTGCCTCAGCACAGACATCGCCAGCCAGGCGCCCATACACCAATGCGCATACCTCGCCATCGACTGGAGGGACGCGTCCACGCGAGCTGTGTTCCAGCGGATACCCATCCCTGTGGCCCGCCGGCTGGGGCGGCGGCTGATAAACCTCGAGACGCTGGTGGTGCGCTACCCCATTGGCAGCCCCCTCTGGTGCTTCGACGTGTGGGTCGGTATCGTTGAGGGCCACTTGGAGGGGCACGACGCACTAGCGAGAAAGGATAATGGCGGCCTGCGACCACCGGTATGTATGTATCATGCGTGCACTCACAGGCAGAGGAGTCAGCAGCACGGCCACTGACAGCACCACGTCACTGTCTGTCTGTCTGCTGGTGCATCCATCTATCCATGCAGGTGACGCAGGTGGCCATGTCTGTCCGGAGGTTCTTTGTGCAGACCGCCCTGGCCGCCATCCGCCGCATCCGGCGCCTCGCCATGTGCCCACACCAGCACAACCAGACCGACGACGACTCCACCCGCACCACTCACGCCCCACACACTGCCACCAGCACATCTCAGGCGTCCCTACCCATCACCACCGCCACATCAGATGGATGGGCCCTGGTGGGAGAGGGACAGGCCAGCGGCAGCGCCACAGCCACAGCCAATCGGCACCCGTCAACTGACGGTCGGGCTGTCAAGTCATCCCTCCACACCATCGTCTTCGAGGCGGTCGGGCAGCCGAGTCCTGCAGCATCGCAGTCTCGTCCCCCAGCTACCATCACCACAGCCACATCAGATGGATGGGTGCTGGTGGGAAGGGGACAGGACAGCCCAATACCCTACGAACACGTCGCCTCCGACGTCCCTCTTCCGGCCCACAGTCGCCCATCCCGCTTCTCTTCCCAGCGGCCCCTCCGCGTCACCATCCCCGCACTCACCACCATCACCGGCCTCCGCAGTGAGCACGCTGGCATCATGACCATGAGGAAGTGGCGCACACCCGCACTCGAGCGGGTGACGGGCGACTTCAGCGGCGTGCGTGACACATACGAAGTGTCCTTTATCGGCACGGCTGGTCGGCTCAAGCACTTCGATGTCTTAGCGGATCCAGCGGTGATTGAGGACGTGCTTTTCCGGGTGTCGCTGGAAAGACGGTCGGGGCGGCTTGCTGCACTCGAGACCATCGGCACATTCACCGTCAGCTACAGCGATACTTTTGATGGCCCCAATCGAGACACCTGTCGATTAGCGGTGAGGATTAAATCACCATCACCCTGCCCGAGGATTTGTCGGACATCTCGTCACCCCTCCTCACCGACAGACTACGCCGCATCGCCAGCCGGGCCAAGGAAGTCAAGTGGAGTTACGACCTCCCCCTGTACGACTCCTCGGACTTCACATTCGACCTCAACTTCACCCAAGCCGAGAGGGTGGTGGCGTTGCAGAGGACTGAGGTGAGAGTCCGTGCCCTTCCAGAAGTATCCCCTGCCGCTGGTCTGGATACCCTCCCGCCTGATGCATTCCCAGCAGCGACAGAGCTGATTCTGAAGGGTGAAAGGGTGTGGGAGATCGGTGTTGTGTTGGTGGAGAGGATGCCGAGAATCACGACGCTGACGATCGAGGACACCGGCTTTAAACTCATTTCGCTGCTGCGAGCCATCGGCCCCGGCAAGCGGCTGCAGGTGTGCGTCAAGGGAAACTTGCTGGACTGTTTAGACGAGGACGCGAGGCACGATGACGACCAGCTGCCAGAGGTCAACTCACTCAAAATCCGTCTGAAAGGTACGTAAGAAAGGAGAGAGGGGTTAACCAGATGAAGTCTTTGATACGCTGCCCATTTTACGGGTGTGCATTGCATGCAGAACGGTTCTGTCTGGGAAGAGAGGACGAATATCGCGATGCCACTCATCTTTTCGATGTCGGTGGTCGAGTGGTGACGACCATCAAGCCACTGCTCCAGCTGCGGGGCCTGCAGAAGCTGGAGCTGTTGGTGCCCCTTCAAGCTGGAGCGGTATCCGAGATGGAGCAGGAGGCGACCCTGGCAGACTGCCGTAGGGACTTCCCCCCTGCACCTGGCAAGAACGCCGTGACCTTTACCACCGACACCCACATCGATGACCCTGCTGCTTGCAGCCGTTGGCGTGAGTGTGACTATTTCAGGCTCGTTGCCCGCCAGTATGGGCCCTAGCAGGTCAGGCAAACAGTCCAAATCGCTTTCAACCGTGTGACGTGTGTTGATCTCTTCCTGTGCATGCGTCATAGGCCTATCGAAGCACATGGACGTCCACACACAGCGATGAGGAGGTCTGGTCTTGTGGGTCTGCCGTCTGCTCGTGCTCTCTGGCTGGATGGCTTACTTACTAAATAGCCAACTAGGTGTCCATGTGTGCGTCGGTGTCATTCGTTGTTGGATGGGCATGCCTCTGGCCGGTCCTTTGCTGACATGTCGGCTGTGTTCCCTCACTATCGTGTCGTCGGTCACGTCAGATGACACGCAGGACGGGACGCATCGGCCGACGGCCAGACAGGCCACCAGCAAGGGACCGATCGCAGGCAGACGCATGTATTGAGGTGACTAGACAGAGAGACCAGTCTACATGCGATCCTTGCTTATGTACATACATGCATACATACATACACACATACATACATACACGTACGTATACATATATGTCTGTCTGCCCGTCTGCCTGCCTGCCTGCCTGTTTGTGTCGTCTCCGCAAGGGCCGCGGACAGAGAGGGTAGCCGACGTCGGTTTTCCTTCTGGGCATCCCAGACCCGCAACGTGTATGTCTTCCCTCCTGCTGCCTCTCCGACGACAGAACGACATGTCCACACGTTATTTAAGTCATCCACCGATGGCCATCCATCCCTCCCTCCCTCGCCCCCCTCTGTGCAGCCAGCAGCTCTAACATCCTCTTTTCCCTTGTTTCCTTTCCTTTATCGTGGGTAGGTGGATGGATGGATGGATGCGTGTGGTGGTGCGGCCTCTTGTTTTTCGCCGTGTCGTCGATGTGATGTGTGCAGATGAGTGGTGGGGCGTGTATGGCGTTCGTGCTTGTCCTTGCATACAAACCAACGGATATTCTTCCCATGAGACCGTGTCGCACTGTGGATGGACGTGTGTATGCAGCCTGCTCTGTGCCTTGATCATCGTTATGTGTGCGATGCTCCCGCCTCCATTTGTCCCTTCCGCCGTCAGTCACCGAGGTATGAGCTGAAAGGATCTGAACAGAAAGCAACACAGCACAGTGGCGACGAGCGTTAGTTGCTTTCGGTGCTCAAGGCCCTCGCTGCTTTCTCACATCCACCTCACACATCTCATCTCACCTTTGGCACTTAAGTCCTTCGAGTACAATCCTTCCAGTGCGACGCATCCTTCGCCAGTAGCCAAGAAAACAGGAAGGTGATCTCCGAGCTTTGCAAGCTCAAGGAACCAGGGCGAAAATCGCTTTCTCGGCTTTGCCCAGCCAATTTTCCTCTCTGAATGTGTACGAGGCGACGCACTGAAGGAACTCAGCCGATAAAATCAGAAAACGAATTTGCCACTGTTGAGAAAATCAGCCGTTCGATCCTCACTCGATCGGCTTCTGCGGCCGCTGCCGAGGGCCTGTTGGGCTGCCCGGGGGGCTGGGGGACCTCTTGACGGCCGCCGTGACCGGCAAGAAAGGCAAAAAGACGAAGGCAATGAGTCCCCTTCGCCATCAGCACACTCGGCTGGGGTGTGTGTGAGTGCGGTGGCGTCAAGTATCGGCACGTATGCATAGCGCTGTGCAGTGCGGTCAGCACGGCGGAGGTCTGGCAAGTCACGTCAACACAATGAAGACAGCACCGAGTGCAATGGGCGACATGGTGTGTCTTGGAAGGATGGAACACACACTGCTGGGGCCCAGATCTGTCTGTCTGTCTGTCTGTCTGTCACACGCGTCCATATACAACAAACGAAGCGAAAAGAAGCCCAAAAAGAATTCTTCCATGCACCCACACATGCGACATGTGCCCATGCCTTCCATACAAAGTGAAGGCACGCCAAGCCCCGACTGCTCTCTGATGAACTCCCGGACCTGACCGAACGTGTAATTCGCCATCGTCTTGCCACTTGATGAGCTCAGGATTGGCCAGCACTTCGGCAAGCTCGCCACCCTCCTTGACGTAGACCGGCCCCCGGACGGTCCTCTCCTCATCAACAGCGGCCGACGCGACGATCCCAGTGTTCTGGTTGAATGCAACGACGCCCAGCTCTTCACTGGTCCACTCGGGCGTCAGCTGCGGCGCGTCTTCTTCTGTGGGGAACTCCAGACCCGCGAAGGAAGGGCTGGCCAACGAATCCCCATCATGTCGTCCGTCACGCCGAGAAAGGCTCCGAGGGCCGCCATGGGGCTGTCTCCCCCGGATGGGTTGAGAGGGGGAAGATTCTGAGCGTCGATGAGGCCGATAAGGGAGGTTTCCTCCTCTGATATGAGCTCGAAGAAAGCCGCCGGGTCCTCGGGGGGAGGGATCGGGAGCTCTCCTGGTGTCCCGGTCGGGATGGCAAGTCGCCAAAAATCTGGCGGGCCAGGCGGCTCTTTCGCCCCCTCCTCTGGCAGCAGGCCCAGGGGGTCCTTGGGGAGGCCCTTCGAGTCTTCCTTGGATGGCGGCCCTGTGGGGAAGAGATCTGGTAGCTCTGGTGCCTCCTTGGCTGGCTCTTTTTCGGGGATGACGACGGCTTGCCAGCCAGCCGGTGGCCTTGCGCTTTCGCCGCGCCCTAGCCGCCGCCTCCTTGCCTGTCTCGCTGATTGTTGTGGAAGCAGGGAAGGCTGGTTGCTCTGCGGCAGCTTGTTGAGGACATCCGGGCTTGTTGACCGAAGGGCTGGGATGGAGGGGCAGGTAATAAGCCTGGTGTGGAGAAGGTACGGGACAACGCCGTTCCACCGACAAAGCTTGGGCAGCCTGGAACATAGGACGCCGCACGATACGCCGCACTGACAGACAGTTAGGGGCACAAGTGTCATTGCTTGTAAGGCGATCGATGGGCTGGTAGGTTTCTCCCTCTTTACTGCCTCGTACCAGTTTGACGTCGATTGCGGCTGTCAGTAGGCATCCATCCTTGATGAGCTCGACGGGCGCGCATTTGTCATTCTTGGCTTGGTACTCAAGCGGCGCCTCCTCGCAGTGTGACCGCCCTGCGTCCGTGTGGTCCACCTCCATCCAATCGTTGCACTTTGGCCTTATCTTGACCTGCAATGCTTCGACTTGCAGCAGGCGCCTGCGTCTCCCTGCGTCTCCCTTAACAGGGGGCTGGTTGTCCATATTATAGTCACCGAGGCACCGAACACCGATGCTCATCCGACGGATTCCACATCATCGGTTGTTTGGATCTTGAGTGCATCGTCGAGCCCCCCGTTGATCTGCGCCAGGAATGGGTAGTCTTCGATCGGATGGGCCCCCGGCTGCTCCATGATAGTTTCAGAGAACTGATTCAGCAGCAGACCGGCACCGGTCATGGCCCGCCTGGCCCTCGTCGGAGCCGAAGGCTTCTGCCACCGGCCCTCTCCGTCTCCGGCCTCGCCATTGGCCGCCTGGACAGTGACCTCCCATGTCGCCAGAATTTGGTGCAAGCCACGGGAGTCACGGTCTGCTGGCAGACGGACTTGCAGGCGGCTGCTGTGTTGAAGGCCGTCGGTCTGTCGATGACAGGGCCGCCGTCCAGTACAGTGTTGCCCGCAAAGCATTTCACACAACCTGACACGCATAACCAGACGCACCGCAGACGATGTCAACGATGCCGGCCGATGAAGTTGTCTGCTTGCTCACCTTGTGGTGCGGCTCCATTCGCGGCGACGAGTGCGCTGACCAATGCTGCAGTCGGATCCTTCTGCTGTCCCACTTGCTGCCCTGTCCGGCACTAATGGCGCCTGCCATTTGCCCCGCCAGCTGTGCACCGGCGCCAATGATGAGAACACCCTGCAAGTGGCGTCTTCTTACGTCTCTGGCCGACTCTTTGTGCCGCTGAAAGTTGAACCAGGACTGTGCGTAGTCGTTGAAGAGAGGCATCGCGGGATCCTGCCCTGGCGTGAAGATGCGGCGGTTGCCGCTGAGGAGGGAGGCGAGAAGCATGTCGGGCGCTGCCATGTCGCGAGGCTGGTGCTTGTGTAGGTGGTCTGTTGGCCGGATGAATCCAGAGTGAGCAGACTGTCAGGAACCCACTGCAAGTTCCGCGTGATGGAGGGCATGTTCGTGTAGTCTGTCGGCTTCCCAGTCGCCGCATCGATGGTGCACACACAGAGGAGGGCCGCACCATGTCATCCTTGAGGCTGACTGGTGTCTTGGAGCCTTGCAGGGTGGGCAGTGCGGTCGACTGGAGCTGCGGCTGAATGCCTTCGTTCCCGCACGGGATGAAGAATACGTGGCCGAAATGCGATGCCCTCTGCATGGCCGTCTTGAGGATGTGGGGTCGTCTTTGGCCTGCTGTGTGTGACGAGGGAAAGTCGCCGAATTCGAGGGCGAGGTACACCACAGATGTCCTCTGCTGAACAGAGTATTCGATGGGCGCCAGCACATCAGCAATCAGCAAGGTCGAATCCAAGGGCGATGTGGTCGTGTCCTTGGTGTCGACCTCGCTGTCACAGTTGCCGGCATAGAGCACTCCCGCCGGTGTGTCGTGGGTACCCACGCTGCTGGCGAGCGCCTTTGTTTCGCTATAGCCACTTCCGCCCTTCTGTAGAGGCCTTGTGACTTCGTACGCGAGGAAGTCGTCCACGAATCCGTTGTCGTCATCGTCGTGCTGGGGGCGGGGGGAAGACGGGTGGAGACGGGGGGGAGGGGGGAAGCAGAGGGAAAGGGAAGGGGAAGCAGTGGACGACTGGCAGAGCGGCAGGTTGCAGTGCACACGTTCCTCGAGAGAAACGAATGCTTCAAGCAAACGCTCCTTGAAAGAAGCGAATGCGGCAAACGTTCCTTCGAAGAAACGAATGCTCAATGCAAACGGCCCTTTAAAGAGCCGAATGCCTGAAAGCCGCTCAGGGGGCGAGAGCCTCCGGGGGGATGGGATCCACCTCCGGAGTCAACTCGAAGTAGTAGACCAGCTGCCAGTCGCCACTCAACGCTCCCAGTTTCCCCAGGCCCGGGTCGTCGATCTGGTATCTCCATCCCGACTCCTTGTCCCGGGTGAAACGATACTCCCACTGCAGACAACCACCCATCCATCCAGGCACACGCAAAAGAAGATAAGGCGAGAAGTATACATCCATCTGTCTGTCTGTCTGTCTAGCTCAGTATCAGCCTTTGTCAGTACCGCCGTCACCCTCTTCTCGTCGCCGTCGTGCAGCACGCAAACTTCCCGTCGCGGTGGACGGTGGGTCCAGGGTGCCGCGGAGCCGCCGTGGGGGATGCCGTCAGAAATCTGGCAGACATGCGCAGAACAGGTTGAATCCGATGGGCTCTTCATCTATCTCATGGATGCCTCCCCGCCGGGCCCGCTTTGCTGCGTGTGCTTACGTCTCTCTTTGGCTGCTCGCACCACATCCACCCCTTGTCGGCCCCGACGAAGCCCTCCGGCACCGGCGCGCAGGTGCCGACCGGCACGAGCTCCTCCTCCCGCTCCCACCGCCGCCGCTTGTCCTCCTTGCCCGTCCCCCGTCCCCACCTCGCCTTTCGCCTGACACGCACAACACAACACGACACAACCCGACACAACCCGGTCTCTCCCTGTGCCCCAAGCGTCTCTCTTGCTTTCCTCACTGAGTGCGGAAGAGCTGTCTTGTCATGGGTTCGTCGAACTGCGTGGCCCAGAGGCCGTGGTCGCTCGCCGTGTTGCCCATTCTCCTGTCTGCCGTCTCCCCTTGGGGGCTGGTCCCCAGAGCGAAGCTCGCCGCGGACAGCATGACTGTTGTGACGGCTCTCGCTGCCTCACATCCTCCCCTCGAGGAATGGGAAAGATAAGGCAACGGATGCTTTGATCTCCCCTTCACGGTCATTTACTGTGCCAGATCTGCCCACCTGCAATGAGTCATTGTGTGGCCCTGACTGATGGTGCGACGCTTGATGCTCCTTCCGCCACACACATGGCGACAAGAAGGGTGCACTGGCCGACTCAAATTGACTCCTGAGGTCGACTCCTTGAGGCGGGAGCTAGAAGCAGCTTCGAATCGCACTTCTGAGCTCGCATTCTACGGCTCCGTTGATCTGTTTTTCTGTGAGCCTTCCGCGACGTCGGCTCAGCGGCAGGCGAGGCGGGGAGGGAAAAGGAGCGACTGAATTCCGTCGGATGATGTTCGTGACCATGGAAGCGATTAGCATCGGCGGAGAGTAGGACAGGACAACGGGGCCTAACGATGGAAGCGGCAGGTGAAGTGCACTCACACAAGCGGAGGGAAGCAGGCGGGCATTCATCAGCATGACTGTCTTGTCCGTCTGTGTGGCAGGTGAACGTGATGGTGGTGGGGCTGGCAGTGGGTCCTCTGCGACTCGTCTGCCCGGCAGTGCCACTCATGCCGCGAACCATCAGGTGGGCACTCAGCACCGGGCTCATCTTGTCGCACCAACACGTGTGTGTGTGTGTGTGTGTGTGTGGCGCTCATGTCGTGCAGGCCGTCAGTGATCGTGACTTACTCCATCGCATGCGGGCGGGGCTGGATCTCATGCGTGACCTCGCCGACACACTGCAGACACAGGTATGCGCCCGGTCGCTTCCGTGAGCACGTGCCTCATGTATTGGCTTCTTATGTGTCAGTGCGTCGATCTGTCGGCGACCCGAGACGCCCTTTCTGGTCGGCTGTCTGAGGGGCTGATGCGCATCGAGTCGCAAGTCGACGACATGAGGCGATCATCGACAGCTCACAGGTGCGCACGTCGACATATGTGCGGGATGTGGGTGCACTTGCATGGCTTCGTGTGGTGTGGTGTGGTGTGCCCTCAGGTCGGTGTTGACGAGGCGAGTGGCGTAGAAGGAGAGGCAAGCGACACATCTGACGCACCTCACTCGGTAGGTTCTCGAAGAGGAGAGAGAGCATCAGTGGCGGCGGGCAATCTGATGCACATGTGTGTGTGCAGGCCCATGCTGCTGTGAGGGCGGATGGCTCCTCGGTGCCCTCTTCCCTTGCCGCTGCTGCTAGTGCTGTGTCTGCTGCTGGTGGCCGGGGTATGAGACGACAGAGGGATGACACGGCGACCCATAAGATGCACCAAGAGCTGTCTGTGTGTGTGTGCAGGTGGTGTGTCGGGGGACCTTGGGCAAGGAGGAGAGAGCAAAGGCCAGCAACAGCTTCAGGAGGTCAGTGTGTGAATGCACTGACAGACATGGCTCCCGGGATTCATTGCTCTCACTCCCCTTGTCCGTCTGTCTGTCTGTCTGTCTGTCAGGGTGTCGGCAGTCTGACGAGTGAGCCGCTGTGCGAGTGGACGACGTCATGCCCCTCCTTCACCACTAAGATGACCTCAGTGCGGCCTCGCGAGGTCGAGAAGGGGCCGGCGGAGATGACAGAGGACAACCACCACAACAAGATCATCGCGCCACGTGCTCTCAACAAGAGCGGCAGCCACAGCAGAGGCCGGTCGTCCTTCGTGTCGCCTCGAGTGGTGTCCCGGTCGCCGCATGATGACACATCACCCTCTGGCCAGCACACGTCTGATGGACAGGTGAGGCAAACCCAACCCAACAGCAGCCCCTTGCTGGCGCCATGCAGTCCATATCTTTCTGTCCGGTCCATCAGGTTTCCGTGGGCATGTCCCCCGTCTGCAGAGGCCGCTCGTCATCCCTTCCGCCTCCTGTGCTGCCCCGGTCGCCAGCGCCGTCATCGGCGGCGGCGTCCCACCAGGACACCCCCGGTGCACACGTAAGGAGCAGAGCACAGGAGCCACCCGTCGATGCCATCACTGACAGTGTGATGGATGTTGATGGCCTTGTGTATGTTGTCATCAGGAGCTTTCGTCAACTTTCCTGGTCGAGAAGGGGATTGGGAAGAAGCCCAAATCTAAGGTCAAGGCGTATAAATCGCGGTGTCTGGAGATGTGGGACAGCTTCTATGGGTCCTCCTCGATCCACGGTCACGATGGCGAGACGCACTACGAGGAGTCTTCGTCCCACGACAAGCTCTTCGAGCAGGGGGGCTCACCCATCCCTCCTGTAATCATCGCTGAATGTGTTGATGGGTTCGCCGTGCTCGAGCATGGCATGGTGCTGAAGGACCCCCGAGGTCTTCTGCCTCCTTCTTTCGGCGTGGCTGAGAGGGGCGATGGACACCAGGCTGCCGCCCTGACGCTCGAGGGAGGTGTGCGGCATGGGGCACGTGGTGGCGGCAGCAGTGGGCGAGACGAGCCCGCGGCTGGCGGGGAGGGGGGAGTGGTTGCTGAGGCGGCGTTGCCCAAGAGAGAGGGGCCCGCGGCCACCAAGGAGTCGCCACCATTGCCCGGCCCGTCAGAGGCCGCAGAGGAGGAAGGCATCGAGGCGCCCTCTGTCGACCCCCGCGCCGCCCAGCAAGGCACTACGGCCCCCTCCAAGTCAGTCGTCACCGAGCCGTCGCCCCGCAGCGAGGCAGCTGGGACCAACGAGGAACCTACTGCTGCGCATGCCCCTGCTGCCTCCCCTGACGACTCCAAGTGGGAGGTCGTGTCGGCCGAGGTGCGCACAGACAGCCAAACAGCTGCGGGCGGGGGGCAGACACACACAGCTAGCTGCTGATCAGAGAGACGCTCTCCATTGATGTTCGGTGTGCCTGTGTCTCCTGTCTCTTAACGCAGAAGCCCCCAGCCGCAGCTCCGAGGGCGCCAAGCCTGGGAGAGGACAAAGGACTGGCCGAAGCCATGGACATGCTCGAGAGCGCCATCACCCACGACCAAGAAAAGTCCCTCAGCCGCAGTGGCCACTCCAAGGAGCAGCTGATGGACATTGCTGTGCTGGTGTCTACGATCGATGGACTCGAGAAGGCCCATCAGATCCTCACGGCCAACATCCCCCGATTCGACTTCGTCAAGCATGCCCGCCCAGCCAGAACCCCTGACCAGAGGCCGTGCGTCGATGTCAGCCTTATCAAGATGGGAGACGGATGGTGCAAGCTCACCAACGGCGTCCATGAGCGGGTGGATTCCGGCCCGCTGCGCCTGATGGACTTGAATGCGCCGAATATCCTCCTCTCCCTCACACTAGCGGAGCTCCGCATCGAGCCCGCGGCGCCCTCGGCCACGGCACCATCAGCCACGTCTGCGGCATCACCAGCGGTCCAGCACTCGGCCGTGGGCAGCCAGGCACCGCAGCCGCCACCGCAAACGGACCCACAACCTGGTATGGGAGAGATGATGATGTATGCCAAGATGTCTATGCGTTGTTTGTTTGCTTCAGGCGAGTCGTCCAGTGACATGGCGATGGGCAGCGAGGTGAAGGAGAGCCAGCCCATGCCGCCCACCGCACTGCCAAAGGTGAGCTGCTATGCCCATTCATCCATCCACTCAAAAACATTTCCTTTGTTGCTTATGCTGGCAGCCGATTTCGCGTGACGCCCCCGCCCTCATCGATTGACATGGCATCCTCCCCAGCCCCCCTTCACTCGCAACAGCAGCAGCATCACCGGCTGTTGGCCAACATGGACCACAGCTGCACGTCGGCCACATCGCTGGCGTCAGGTCTGGGCGCACCACCGCCGGCACCGACGGCGTGGCTGAGAGGGGCGATGGACACCAGGCTGCCGCCCTGACGCTCGAGGAAGGTGTGCGGCATGGGGCACGTGGTGGCGGCAGCAGTGGGCGAGACGAGCCCGCGGCTGGCGGGGAGGGGGGAGTGGTTGCTGAGGCGGCGTTGCCCGAGA